GGCAGGCACGCAGCTCATTTCCAGAGAAATGCACTCAATTGCCTTAGTCAACAAGGAAAAGGTATAGGACAAAATATTTAAATTCCTTCTTCCTTCAGTGTCACTATCTATGACTAATCTGGTGTGCCATATTTCTGCTTTTTAACAATGAATAATCTCATAAGATCCAGTCACCTTCATGTGTCACATTGAGTTTGATCCAACTTTGAAGGTTCACAATAACTATATACTATTAATGTATGCAAATCACATTCAATACCAGGCATTTCAACACTGCTTTTCAAAATTCAATTGTATTGTAATTGATTTCAAAAAGGATATTTCTAGTTCTTCTATTTCCATAGGTGCCAACCATGTAGGGCCCTGTCGGGATCTCCGCTCGGCCAAGCTTATAAAGCTCATTTTCCTCCGGCCAAGTCCTTCGGAAATGCCTCCGACAATAACAACCTGAGCCTTTGATGAGGCCTCAGGCACATTCCTGTTCAGCAGAGTTTCCAGCACAGGAAAGTGATGAGATTTATGGCTACATCACTATGCTTTATTTCTTACTACGCAGACAGCAAAGAAATATACATCCTCTCTCTGTGAAAGCAGAGAGCAACTGCAAACAAACAAAGGAACAAGCAACCAGTAACGTCACATCCGTCTCCCGTGAGACTTCCAAAAGTATGGAATGTGTGGAATGTAAACAGTCTTGTGACTCCAAAGCACTGCTCAGTGGCAAACAGAAACGAACAGGCCCTGGGTGCCCAGGCACCCACAATTTTTAAATGAAGGGGCCACTGCCCCCAGATTCCACTCTGCAGCGGACACAAACCATGGGGCGTGCCAACACCACATGCATAAGTCGCAGTGATGTCAGCATGCCCATGGCACCCACTGTTGCAGGGTCAAGGCAGCAGGCCTGTCTATTTCCATGACTAAACGTAATTGAAATGAATTTGTGCATCCTTCTTCTTGGCATAGCAGAAGTCAGTAGTTATATAAGGAAATGGTGTTTCCATGCACTCCGGCACTCATCATGGTGGCCCATTGCGCCAGAAGTGGTTTAGTCATGCTGGCCACATGGCTCAGAAAACTTACTGTGGACAAATGCAGGCTCCCTTGGCCTGAAGCAAAATGAGCACTGCACCCCATAGTAGCCTTTGAATGGACTTAACCATCCAGGCTCCTTCATGGATCGCTGCCTTGTTGTGGCAAAGGGAATTGAATAACTCAGAGAAGCGATGAGCTATGTTGTGCAGGGCCACCCAAGATGGACAGGTCATAGTGGAGAGTTTTGACTAAACATGATCCACCTGGAGCAGCAAGCAACTGCAGTACTGGAGTATTGGAGAAGATCAGTCTACATCCCAATCCCAAAGAAGGACAGTGACAAAGAATGCTCCAACTACCGCACAATTGCGCTCATTTCACACGCTAGCAAGGTTATGCTTAAAATTCTACAAGGCAGGCTTAAGCAGTATGTGGACCATGAACTCCCAGAAGTGCAAGCTGGATTTCAAAGGGGCAGAGGAACCAGAGATCAAATTGCAAACATGCACTGGATTATGGAGAAAGCTAGTGAGTTCCAGAAAAACATCTACATCTGTTTCATTGACTACGCAAAAGCATTTGACTGTGTCGACCACAGCAAACTATGGCAAGTTCTTAAAGAAATGGGAGTGCCTGATCACCTCATCTGTCTCCTGAGAAAACTCTATGTGGGACAAGAAGCTACAGTTAGAACTAGATATGGAACAACTGATTGGTTCAAAATTGGGAAAGGAGTACGGCAAGGCTGTATATTGTCTCCCTGATTATTTAACGTATACAGTGGTACCTCGAGTTACATGCGCTTCAGGATACATACGCTTCAGGTTACAGACCCCGCTAACCCAGAAATATTACCTCGGGTTAAGAACTTTGCTTCAGGATGGGAACAGAAATCGTGCTCCAGGAGTGCGGCGGCAGCAGGAGGCCCCCATTAGCTAAAGTGGTGCTTCAGGTTAAGAACAGTTTCAGGTTAAGAACGGACCTCCGGAACGAATTAAGTACTTAACCCGAGGTACCACTGTATGCAGAATGCATCATGAGAAAGGCTGGACTGAATGAATCCCAAACTGGAATTAAGACTGCCAGAAGAAATATCAACAACCTCAGATATGCAGATGACACAACCTTGATGGCAGAAAGTGAGGAGGAATTAAAGAACCTTTTAATGAGGGTGAAAGAGGAGAGGGCAAAATATAGTCTGAAGCTCAACATCAAAAAAACTAAGATCATGGCCACTGGTCCCATCACCTCCTGGCAAATAGAAGGGGAAGAAAGGGAGGCAGTGAGAGATTTTACTTTCTTGGGTTCCATGATCATTGCAGATGGTGACAGCAGTCACAAAACTAAAAGACGCCTGCTTCTTGGGAGAAAAGCAATGACAAATCTAGACAGCATCTTAAAAAGCAGAGACATCACCTTGCCAAAAAAGGTCCATATAGTTAAAGCTATGGTTTTCCCAGTAGTGATGTATGGAAGTGAGAGCTGGACCATAAAGAAGGCTGACCACCGAAGAATGGATGCTTTTGAATTACGGTGCTGGAGGAGACTCTTGAGAGTCCCATGGAATGCAAGAAGATCATACCTACCCATTCTTAAGGAAATCAGCCCTGAGTGCTCACTGGAAGGACGGATCCTGAAGCAGAGGCTCCAATACTTTGTCCACCTCATGAGAAGAGAAGACGCCCTGGAAAAGACCCTGATGTTGGAAAAGACTGAGGGCACAAGGAGAAGGGGACGACAGAGGATGAGATGGTTGGACAGTGTTCTCGAAGCTACGAACATGAGTTTGACCAAACTGCGGGAGGCAGTGGAAGACAGGAGTGCCTGGTGTGCTCTGGTCCATGGGGGCACGAAGAGTTGGACATGACTAAACGACAACAACAACAAACCATCCAGGTTTACCTTTACCTTATAGGGGAGTTTTTAATGTTTGATGTTTTATTATGCTTTATGTTTGCTGTAAGCTGCCCAGAGTGGGCAGGGTATAAATAATAAAAATATCATCATCATCATCCTTGAGGATTTACTCAAGGAATTATCCATATAACTAATATATCTCATTTGTTTGACTTCAGAGCAATTTTATACTTATATTGGATTGAAAACATTGCCATTTGTACTTTCAGTGTTTATGCACTATCTTCTGCATATAAATAAAGATTAAGGAAAAGCTACTTATAAGTAAGGTTGTTGTATATTTTAGCATTATAACATTCATGTTTTTTGCTTCCACACTACCTTTTTCAACGCCCATCCTACACTGGTGGAAATAACTAAGACTGCATACGTTTCTGCTGTTCAGTAGCTAAGCCAATCAGCTGCAATATTATTGCTAGACAGCCAACATATCTTAGGTTAGCATCTCAGTTATTTCAACAGAATCACTGTATGTAAATTTCTGTGTGAATGGGATTTTCTTTCACAGAGGGTTTAGCCCCTCCTGCCCAGGGCTTTTCCTGCTGTGGGCTTGAGGAAGATACATATGAGAGTTAGAGAATATAGACCACATTGCAAAATTTTCCTGTTTGTAGTGCCTAGCTGAAAAAAATAATTTAAAAATACCCCTAACTTTTAAGAGTAATCAAAAGGTTAAAGACTTAAATGTATTTCTGTATAATATTGTCCATTATCGATTTGCACACCAATTTCAGTGCATTGTTCAATTCTCTAATTCAGTTTGGAATGTCTTCTCCTTTTTAAATATTTTTTTCATGCATTTGCTCCTTCAGTTGGCCAAACTTCTGTGTCTAGTGCTTCTTGAAATAAATACCCAGAACCACAAGAACACAAAAAACAAATATAATTACTCCTATAATTGCTGCCATGCTGGAGCTAAATTTAAAAATACTATGTCTTGGAGGGGGTCTACTATCAACACTGCCACCGTAGCCTTCATAGAGACAGGAGGAGCCCAGCCATAATCACAATGGCAATGTTTCTGAGTATTGCATATTTCTCAATCATGGCACTTTGTGATATTACAATCATACTGCAAGAAGGACATGCTCATGCAGTTCCCATCAATGTACATCAGGTCACTACCACAAGAAGTCCCATCTCTCACTGCTCCAATATCGGGTATCTCTATTCCAGCGTGGTAGTCTGTACTCCAGCATTGCCTATTGCCAGGGGCAGTATGAAGTATGGTGGTGTGTTCCTGCAAAGAAGGTAACTGATCAACATTTTCACAATGGATTCAGCCACACAAGATATGCTGAGTATCACATTTCTTATAAGTGTCATGTCTAAGCCCACAGTTGCCAAAGCGATCCCCTCAAGCATTTATTTCACTGAAGCAATCCTTTGAAGCAGCTGTTGCTTTGTTGCTAAATATCATTTTGCATTGTCCATTGTGAGTTGTGCAATTTCCATTATAGCAATATGCACCATCACTGCACGGGGCAGCATCTTGTACGTAAACATCTTCAGGACACAACTCTGAAGTCCCATTGCAATAATCAGGAAGGTCACAGGCATGAACTTTCTCTTTGCAAACAGACTGAGCTGGAAGAAATTGACAATTAACACAGCACTGTCCAAAAGCACAAGTGGCATCTGGACTCAACATGCACTTAGACTGGCAACATGGATCCAATTTGCATTGCTCTGTTGAGCCACAGTCACATTCCTCTTTATCTTCTACTTTTTTGTTTCCACAGGATGCAAATTTATACATTAGATCAGGGAATGGTGGAACTAACAAACATTGAAAGTTCCTTACTGAGAAGTAATCCTTATAACTACAATTGCTAAACTTATCTGTGCTTGCTTGGTATGCAACCATAACGCAAGCATGTCGATCACAAGTGCAGTATTTTTCATCATATTGCAGAGTTCCGCCCTGTTGTGCCTAGTAGACAAATATAATGAAGAAGGGCTTTAAAAACTTTAGAAACTTAAATGTATCTCTGCATAATACTGTCCATTATTTCCTGTGCATCTATTTGACACATTCAGTGTATTGTTCAATTCTCTGATTCAGTTGGGACAGGATTTTCTTCCTTTTTTATATCTTCTTCATATGTTCTTTCTGGTTTTTTTACAAACCGCTCTCTCGGGTGCTTCCTGAAATAATTACCCAGCCCAAGTATAGCAACAACAGTAAAAACAAGAAATACAATTGCTGCTATAATTCCTATGATGATGCCAATATGCTGTGAAGCCTTCCCTGGTGGTGGAGGTCCACTGTCAATGCTGCCGCCATAGCCTTCATTGAGACAATCTGGAGGAGCCCAGCCATAATCACAATGACAATGTTTGTAAGTGTTGCATATTCCTCGATTGTGACACTTTGTGACATTGCAATCATATTTCAAGAGAGACACTTTCTTGCACTCCCCATTAATACACATCATTTCTGTGCCACAAGGAGTCCCATCTCTCACTGCTCCAATATCAGGTATCTCCATTCCAGCATGGTAATCTGTACTCCAGCATTTCCTATTGCCTAGAGGTGTGTTAATTATGGTGCTGTGTTCCTCCAAAGAAGGTACTGTATCAACATTTTCACACTGGATTCGGCCGCACAAGATGTTCTGAGTATCACATTTCTTATAAGTGTCATGTCTAAGCCCACAGTTGCCAAAGCGATCACCTCGAGCATTCATTTCACTGAAGCAATCCTTTGATGCACCGGTTGCTTTGTTGCCAAAGATCATTCTGCACTGCCTAGTGTGAGTTGTGCAATTCCCATGATAGCAATATGCACCATCACTACACGGGGCACCATCTTGTACATAAACATCTTCAGGACACCATTCTGAAGTCCCGTTGCAGTACTCGGGGAGATCACAGCTGCTGACCTGTTCTCTGCAAACCTTATGAACTGGAAGATACTGACACTCAACACAGCACTCTCCAAAAGCACAAGTGGCATCTGGACTCAACATGCAATTAGACTGGCAACATGGATCCAACTTGCATTGCTCTGTTGAGCCACAATCACATTCCTCTTTATCTTCCACTACTTTGTTTCCACAGTATGCAAATTTATACATTAGATCAGGGTCTAGTGGAACTAACAAACACTGTCTGTTCCTTACTGAGAAGTAATCCTTGTAACTGCAATTGCTAAACTTATCTGTGGTTACTCCATATGCAGCCATAACGCAAGCATGTCGATCACACGTGCAGTATTTTTCATCATGTTTCATTCCAAGATTATGTCCTAATTCATGGGCAAATATAACAGTAAAATCAAACAAACTGTAAGTCATATATGACTCAACACCAGTTGCCCAGTGGGCAAGACAAATTGTTCTTACGTACGCTAATCCAAGTGTATTTCCAAAACTTTTATATACAAATAAGTGAGCAGCATCAAGATCTATATGTTTACTTAGTGACTCCCTTACAAACATGGCAAAATTGAGCAGTGTTTGTTCTATTGTGTCTTCGATTTTCATGAGGTTCTTTTCTGACCAAATCTCCAGGCCAGCTATAGACAACGCAACAGCAAGTGGCTCATATATTGAGTTTGCAGCATGGATAATATCTAGAACTTGCAAAGCAATACGACTTTCATTTCTGTCAAACCTGACATATCGTTCATGTTCTATCACAATGGCAAGCTCCAAGTATCTGGTATGTGTCCACCAGGCTCCTCTCGCATCAATTTGAACTGTTACATTATTTGTGCTTTGGATCATGGCCTCTTGGCGTCTTTGCTCTTCCTCTGTTAGCCCGCACCTCATTCGTACAGCACCCACCATTTCCTCCAATCTATACAACACATGTTGAGAAGTAGCAGATGCCTGAACAGGTTCGATTTCATAGGTGCGGTTTTCTAAGTGCAACAGACCCCTGAGTCCCCCTGAGCAAGTGCTGAGGGTGACTCGAGAGGCAGGATGGCCTTTTACCAAGCCGCGGTAGAAGCAGTCATCTCTGATGAAAGGATAGTCCATCTGAAGGTCCCCCTCCCTACTGTAAGTGAAGACAGGGAAATGTTTAGGCACAAAGCTCTTCTTTTTCCTGAGCTTCACGATGTGGCCCTTCCCCTCAATTTGCAGCAAGTAAGTGATAGTGTGGGGGTTTTGTCCATATCGGGGGGTTAATTTCCTTGGGACAATCATCTCATAGGAGGCATACCTATAGCCCTGTGGAGGGTTCTGACCTGCAGTCTCACTCAACACATTCCATGAGATCAGCACCAGCAGCCAGGGAAGACTGCTTGTCATCTTCCCTGACAGGTGAAAGAATGCACTAAGGCACCCCATGAGATGGCCTGTTGTGGGCCCAAAGCAAAATGGGAAGGAGACTCCTACAGAGAGAGAAGGATTCTGATGATAGCAACAGTCTGTAGATTTACCTTTGGAATGTGGGCGGGCCTTGGTGATTAGGGACAGAATAGAATGCAGAGACTGGGCAAGCAGGAAGCGGGTCAGAGTGCCTGACAGGGGACTTAACAGGAAGAACAGAAAGGAGTGCTGATAGGCTGAGGACCATAGTGTCAGGTAATCATGGGAACTGAGTGCAGGGCAAGGGAAGAATACCTAGTCGCATAGCTGTCAACTTTTCCCTTTTCTTGTGAGGAATCCTATTTGGAATAAGGGAATTTCCCTTAGAAAAGGGAAAAGTTGACAGCTATGCGCTAGTAGGAGTTCCTATGGCCTTGTCATGAACAAATTTGGTATAGATATAGTATTTCTTGTGCCACTGAAGGGCTGGAAGCAGGATATGTGAACAGCAAGTTGCCTGCTCTACAGAGATTTGGCCAGCAATATGCAGCAATAGCAGGTAAGGCGAAGGGGGGAGTTTTTAATTATTATTATTATTATTTTATTAAATTTGTATAACGCCCTAAATCCATAGATCTCATAAATTTACAATAAGATATTAGATGCAGGTTGGAGTAAAGGTAAAGGTAAAGGTACCCCTGCCCGTACGGGCCAGTCGTGTCCGACTCTAGGGTTGTGCGCCCATCTCACTTAAGAGGCCGGGGGCCAGCGCTGTCCGGAGACACTTCCGGGTCACGTGGCCAGCGTGACGAAGCTGCTCTGGCGAGCCAGCACCAGCGCAGCACACGGAAACGCCATTTACCTTCCCACTAGAAAGCGGTACCTATTTATCTACTTGCACTTAAGGGTGCTTTCGAACTGCTAGGTGGGCAGGAGCTGGGACCGAACGACGGGAGCTCACCCCGCCGCGGGGATTCGAACCGCCGACCATGCGATCGGCAAGTCCTAGGCACTGAGGTTTTACCCACAGCGCCACCCGCAGGTTGGAGTAGTTTGTATCAAATGCTATAAATTTTATATGAAGGTGTTTTTAAAACAAATTATAGGAAGTCTTTACTTGTCCATCTGGTCCACAGAGTCACACTGTAGCTGTTGCATACGTGCTCCTTTTGATGAAAAGGCTCACATTCAAAATTCTCCAATGTGTCTACTCATTTTGAGGTGGCTCACTCCTTACCCCACCAACACACATGCAGGGCATAGAGGGCAGCTGCCCCTCATCCCAAGGGCATCTTGGCTGTGACTCTTGGCTGCGAGTCCTGGAAGACCTGCTCTCTGCCTTGCAGCCTTTTCCCACCTGACCTAGGAGGGAGGGGCCCTGACTGACCTCAGCTACAAAAGCTGAGACTGCTGAACACACCCTTGGGCTGGGGTGTTGTTTGCCGGATTTTGTTGGGAGGGGTGGTGGTTGCTGCTGTTGCTGGTTTTTTGTATCTTTATTATAGATCTTGTGATTTATGTGGAAATTGTTCAGTTTGGTTGTATATTTTTTATGTTTTCTTTATTGCTTATCACTACTTTAGTTATGCTGTAGTTATGAGTCCAGCTACAAAAGCTGGCTGGGGACCCATCAATTTTCTCTGGCAGGGCCACTGGGTACTTGCCAGAAGCTGGTGCGTCAGCCCCAGGAGCCGGTAAGGCGTCCAACCGCTGCTGAAGCGCCGTAACCACATTGCTTAGCTGCTGAACGGTGTGAGTCAAGGCCTGGTTCTGCTGGGCCAATGTCACCAACGCAGCTGCCTGGTCAGCCATGGCTTCTGGCTCTTCCCAAACGCACCCCAATGAAGGGGAAGTGCGGGTGGGTCGGGAGCAAACTGTGCTGGTCCCAGGGGGGTTACCGTGAGGCGTGGTCAAAGTCTGGTCCTGGGCCAAGGGTCTGGAGACTGTCCACCAAGGGGGGAGCTGGGTTCAAAGCAAAAGCCGGGCGTGGTCGGGAACTCCGGAAAGACAGGTCTGGGTGCTAGCAGAAACAGGTTTCCAACGTCGTTGCTCCCGCAACCTGGAACCAGGCTGACTGGCCTTTATCTTCTCTGAGGCCAGGGGCGGTCCCGGCCCCCAGGTGACCCGCCTCTCCTGGCCTTAAGGTGAGCACTCCTCCTGAGAGAAACCAGTTCCCTCCGCCTCTCTGCCCTGAACCTCTACAGCTCAGGAGAGGCTGGAGGGTTACTGGACCCAGGCGGAGGCTCACCTTCCCCTGACAGGGCTGGGAGAGGCGCACCTGTAGGCAATGGGTCATCAATCACCTCCGGAGCCAGAGTGGATTCATCTGGTGTCTGCTCCTGAGGATCCGGCAGAGGTGCAGGCGCTTCAGATTCAAGGCCCTGCCCCAGCTCAGCCGGCCCTGGAGGTGGGGACTCCTGTGCAGACTGGGATTCCTCCGGTTCAGCCTCTGAATCAGATTCCCAGGCCATCACATCAGGTTGCTCACGGAGGCAAGACAGTCTGAGCACATAACACCAATCTTGGCCCAACCACACTGGTTGCCAATCAGTTTCTGGGCCCAATTCAAAGTGCTGGTTTTGACCTACAAAGCCTATTGTGGCTCAGTACCCAAATACCTGAAGAAACACCTCTCCCCGTATAAACCAGCATAGACCCTACAATAATAATCTGAGGCCTTTCTTCTTGTGCCTCCTCCTCAGGAGTTCTGGGGGGTGGCAACACAAGAAGGGGCTTTTCAGTGGTGGCTCCCTACTTATGGAATGCTCCCCCTGAGGAGGCTCACCTGGCATCATGAAGAAATAGCTTTAGGCACTAAGCAAAAACTCCCCCCTCTTTTGCTAGACCTTTGTTTTTAGTTATCTGTGGTCTCCAGTGGTTGGAATGTTTTAATCCCGCCTTTTAAAAATGGGACTTTATTTTACATTTATCTTTGGTTTTTATTTTATTTTCTGCTGGTTTCAATGTACAGTATGTGTTTGTTTTTATATTATAAACCACTTTGGATTACCTTCTTTAAAGTATGAAGAATAAATTAGATAAACAAATCAACATTTTGTCATTTTAACATTTTGTTTCCACGGTTCTCTGCATTCTTCAGTTGCTTTGATATGAAGACTTGGAATCACTAAGATTACGTAACGTTGTGATGCTCAGCTGTTAAAGGGTTTTGTTGCCTTTTTATCTCTGCATAATACTGTCCATTATTTCCTGCACATCTATTTGACACATTCAGTGTATTCAATTTTCTGATTCAGTTGGGACAGGATTTTCTTCCTCTTTTACACCTTCTTCATATGTTTTTTCTGGTTTTTATACAAACCGCTCTCTCAGACGCTTCCTGAAATAAATACCCAGCCCCAAAACAGCAAAAATAGTAGAAACAAGAAATACAATTGCTGCTATAATTCCTGTCATGTTGACGCTACGTTTTGAAGTGTTCCTTGGTGGAGGAGGTCCACTGTCAATGCTGCCACCATTACCTTGGTTTAGACAGTCTGGAGGGGCCCAGCCATCATCACAATGACAATGTTTGTAAGTGTTGCATATTCCTCGATTATGACACTTTGTGACATTGCAATCATATTTCAAGAGGGACACATTCTTGCACTCCCCATTAATACACATCATTTCTGTGCCACAAGGAGTCCCATCTCTCACTGCTCCAATATCGGGTATCTCCATTCCAGCGTGGTAATCTGTACTCCAGCAATGCCTATTGCCAAGGGGAGTATTAATTATGGTGCTGTGTTCCTCCAAAGAAGGTAGTTTATAAACATTTTCACACTGGATTCGGCCGCACAAGATGTTCTGAGTATCACATTTCTTATAAGTGTCATGTCTAAGCCCACAGTTGCCAAAGCGATCACCTCGAGCATTCATTTCACTGAAACAATCCTTTGATGCACCGGTTGCTTTGTTGCCAAAGATCATTCTGCACTGCCTAGTGTGAGTTGTGCAATTCCCATGATAGCAATATGCACCATCACTACACGGGGCACCATCTTGTACATAAACATCTTCAGGACACCATTCTGAAGTCCCGTTGCAGTACTCGGGGAGATCACAGCTGCTGACCTGTTCTCTGCAAACCTTATGAACTGGAAGATACTGACACTCAACACAGCACTCTCCAAAAGCACAAGTGGCATCTGGACTCAACATGCAATTAGACTGGCAACATGGATCCAACTTGCATTGCTCTGTTGAGCCACAATCACATTCCTCTTTATCTTCCACTACTTTGTTTCCACAGTATGCAAATTTATACATTAGATGAGGGTCTAGTGGAACTAACAAACACTGTCTGTTCCTTACTGAGAAGTAATCCTTGTAACTGCAATTGCTAAACTTATCTGTGGTTACTCCATATTCAGCCATAACGCAAGGATGTCGATCACAAGTGCAGTATTTTTCATCATGTTTCATTCCAAGATTATGTCCTACTGCATGGGCAAATATAACAGTAAAATCAAACAAACTGGGAGTCATATATGACTCAACACCACTTGCCCAGGGGGCAGTACAAACTGATCTTAAGTACGCTAATCCAACCATAGGTCCAAAACTTTTATATACAAATAAGTGAGCAGCATCTACATCTATATGTTTACTTAGTGACTTTTTTACAAACGTGACAAAATTGAGCAGTGTTTTTTCTATTGTGTCTTCGATTTTCATGAGGTTCTTTTCTGACCAAATCTCCAGGCCAGCTATAGACAACTCAACAGCAAGTGGCTCATATACTGAGTTTGCAGCATGGATAATATCTAGAACTTGCAAAGCAATACGACTTTCATTTCTGTCAAACCTGACATAGCGTTCATGTTCTATCACAATGGCAAGCTCCAAGTATCTGGTATGTGTCCACCAGGCTCCTCTCGCATCAATTTGAACTGTTACATTATTTGTGCTTTGGATCATGGCCTCTTGGCGTCTTTGCTCTTCCTCTGTTAGCCCGCACCTCATTCGTACAGCACCCACCATTTCCTCCAATCTATACAACACATGTTGAGAAGTAGCAGATGCCTGAACAGGTTCGATTTCATAGGTGCGGTTTTCTAAGTGCAACAGACCCCTGAGTCCCCCTGAGCAAGTGCTGAGGGTGACTCGAGAGGCAGGATGGCCTTTTACCAAGCCGCGGTAGAAGCAGTCATCTCTGATGAAAGGATAGTCCATCTGAAGGTCCCCCTCCCTACTGTAAGTGAAGACAGGGAAATGTTTAGGCACAAAGCTCTTCTTTTTTCCTGAGCTTCACGATGTGGCCCTTCCCCTCAATTTGCAGCAAGTAAGTGATAGTGTGGGGGGTTTTGTCCATATCGGGGGGTTAATTTCCTTGGGACAATCATCTCATAGGAGGCATACCTATAGCCCTGTGGAGGGTTCTGACCTGCAGTCTCACTCAACACATTCCATGAGATCAGCACCAGCAGCCAGGGAAGACTGCTTGTCATCTTCCCTGACAGGTGAAAGAATGCACTAAGGCACCCCATGAGATGGCCTGTTGTGGGCCCAAAGCAAAATGGGAAGGAGACTCCTATAGAGAGAGAAGGATTCTGATGATAGCAACAGTCTGTAGATTTACCTTTGGAATGTGGGCGGGCCTTGGTGATTAGGGACAGAATAGAATGCAGAGACTGGGCGAGCAGGAAGCGGGTCAGAGTGCCTGACAGGGGACTTAACAGGATGAACAGAAAGGAGTGCTGATAGGCTGAGGACCATAGTGTCAGGTAATCATGGGAACTGAGTGCAGGGCAAGGGAAGCATACCTAGTCGCATAGCTGTCAACTTTTCCCTTTTCTTGTGAGGAATCCTATTTGGAATAAGGGAATTTCCCTTAGAAAAAAGGGAAACGTTGGCAGCTATGCGCTAGTAGGAGTTCCTATGGCCTTGTCATGAACAAATTTGGTATAGATATAGTATTTCTTGTGCCACTGAAGGGCTGGAAGCAGGATATGTGAACAGCAAGTTGCCTGCTCTACAGAGATTTGGCCAGCAATATGCAGCAATAGCAGGTAAGGCGAAGGGGGAGTTTTTAATTATTATTATTATTATTATTTTATTAAATTTGTATAACGCCCTAAATCCATAGATCTCATAAATTTACAATAAGATATTAGATGCAGGTTGGAGTAAGGTAAAGGTAAGGTAAGGTACCCCTGCCCGTACGGGCCAGTCGTGTCCGACTCTAGGGTTGTGCGCCCATCTCACTTAAGAGGCCGGGGGCCAGCGCTGTCCGGAGACACTTCCGGGTCACGTGGCCAGCGTGACGAAGCTGCTCTGGCGAGCCAGCACCAGCGCAGCACACGGAAACGCCATTTACCTTCCCACTAGAAAGCGGTACCTATTTATCTACTTGCACTTAAGGGTGCTTTCGAACTGCTAGGTGGGCAGGAGCTGGGACCGAACGACGGGAGCTCACCCCGCCGCGGGGATTCGAACCGCCGACCATGCGATCGGCAAGTCCTAGGCACTGAGGTTTTACCCACAGCGCCACCCGCAGGTTGGAGTAGTTTGTATCAAATGCTATAAATTTTATATGAAGGTGTTTTTAAAACAAATTATAGGAAGTCTTTACTTGTCCATCTGGTCCACAGAGTCACACTGTAGCTGTTGCATACGTGCTCCTTTTGATGAAAAGGCTCACATTCAAAATTCTCCAATGTGTCTACTCATTTTGAGGTGGCTCACTCCTTACCCCACCAACACACATGCAGGGCATAGAGGGCAGCTGCCCCTCATCCCAAGGGCATCTTGGCTGTGACTCTTGGCTGCGAGTCCTGGAAGACCTGCTCTCTGCCTTGCAGCCTTTTCCCACCTGACCTAGGAGGGAGGGGCCCTGACTGACCTCAGCTACAAAAGCTGAGACTGCTGAACACACCCTTGGGCTGGGGTGTTGTTTGCCGGATTTTGTTGGGAGGGGTGGTGGTTGCTGCTGTTGCTGGTTTTTTGTATCTTTATTATAGATCTTGTGATTTATGTGGAAATTGTTCAGTTTGGTTGTATATTTTTTATGTTTTCTTTATTGCTTATGACTACTTTAGTTATGCTGTAGTTATGAGTCCAGCTACAAAAGCTGGCTGGGGACCCATCAATTTTCTCTGGCAGGGCCACTGGGTACTTGCCAGAAGCTGGTGCGTCAGCCCCAGGAGCCGGTAAGGCGTCCAACCGCTGCTGAAGCGCCGTAACCACATTGCTTAGCTGCTGAACGGTGTGAGTCAAGGCCTGGTTCTGCTGGGCCAATGTCACCAACGCAGCTGCCTGGTCAGCCATGGCTTCTGGCTCTTCCCAAACGCACCCCAATGAAGGGGGAGTGCGGGTGGGTCGGGAGCAAACTGTGCTGGTCCCAGGGGGGTTACCGTGAGGCGTGGTCAAAGTCTGGTCCTGGGCCAAGGGTCTGGAGACTGTCCACCAAGGGGGGAGCTGGGTTCAAAGCAAAAGCCGGGCGTGGTCGGGAACTCCGGAAAGACAGGTCTGGGTGCTAGCAGAAACAGGTTTCCAATGTCGTTGCTCCCGCAACCTGGAACCAGGCTGACTGGCCTTTATCTTCTCTGAGGCCAGGGGCGGTCCCGGCCCCCAGGTGACCCGCCTCTCCTGGCCTTAAGGTGAGCACTCCTCCTGAGAGAAACCAGTTCCCTCCGCCTCTCTGCCCTGAACCTCTACAGCTCAGGAGAGGCTGGAGGGTTACTGGACCCAGGCGGAGGCTCACCTTCCCCTGACAGGGCTGGGAGAGGCGCACCTGTAGGCAATGGGTCATCAATCACCTCCGGAGCCAGAGTGGATTCATCTGGTGTCTGCTCCTGAGGATCCGGCAGAGGTGCAGGCGCTTCAGATTCAAGGCCCTGCCCCAGCTCAGCCGGCCCTGGAGGTGGGGACTCCTGTGCAGACTGGGATTCCTCCGGTTCAGCCTCTGAATCAGATTCCCAGGCCATCACATCAGGTTGCTCACGGAGGCAAGACAGTCTGAGCACATAACACCAATCTTGGCCCAACCACACTGGTTGCCAATCAGTTTCTGGGCCCAATTCAAAGTGCTGGTTTTGACCTACAAAGCCTATTGTGGCTCAGTACCCAAATACCTGAAGAAACACCTCTCCCGTATAAACCAGCATAGACCCTACAATAATAATCTGAGGCCTTTCTTCTTGTGCCTCCTCCTCAGGAGTTCTGGGGGGTGGCAACACAAGAAGGGGCTTTTCAGTGGTGGCTCCCTACTTATGGAATGCTCCCCCTGAGGAGGCTCACCTGGCATCATGAAGAAATAGCTTTAGGCACTAAGCAAAAACTCCCCTCTTTTGCTAGACCTTTGTTTTTAGTTATCTGTGGTCTCCAGTGGTTGGAATGTTTTAATCCCGCCTTTTAAAAATGGGACTTTATTTTACATTTATCTTTGGTTTTTATTTTATTTTCTGCTGGTTTCAATGTACAGTATGTGTTTGTTTTTATATTATAAACCACTTTGGATTACCTTCTTTAAAGTATGAAGAATAAATTAGATAAACAAATCAACATTTTGTCATTTTAACATTTTGTTTCCACGGTTCTCTGCATTCTTCAGTTGCTTTGATATGAAGACTTGGAATCACTAAGATTACGTAACGTTGTGATGCTCAGCTGTTAAAGGGTTTTGTTGCCTTTTTATCTCTGCATAATACTGTCCATTATTTCCTGCACATCTATTTGACACATTCAGTGTATTGTTCAATTCTCTCATTCAGTTGGGACAGGATTTTCTTCCTCTTTTACACCTTCTTCATATGTTTTTTCTGGTTTTTATACAAACCGCTCTCTCAGACGCTTCCTGAAATAGTAGAAACAAGAAATACAATTGCTGCTATAATTCCTGTCATGTTGACGCTACGTTTTGAAGTGTTCCTTGGTGGAGGAGGTCCACTGTCAATGCTGCCACCATTACCTTGGTTTAGACAGTCTGGAGGGGCCCAGCCATCATCACAATGACAATGTTTGTAAGTGTTGCATATTCCTCGATTATGACACTTTGTGACATTGCAATCATATTTCAAGAGGGACACATTCTTGCACTCCCCATTAATACACATCATTTCTGTGCCACAAGGAGTCCCATCTCTCACTGCTCCAATATCGGGTATCTCCATTCCAGCGTGGTAATCTGTACTCCAGCAATGCCTATTGCCAAGGGGAGTATTAATTATGGTGCTGTGTTCCTCCAAAGAAGGTAGTTTATAAACATTTTCACACTGGATTCGGCCGCACAAGATGTTCTGAGTATCACATTTCTTATAAGTGTCATGTCTAAGCCCACAGTTGCCAAAGCGATCACCTCGAGCATTCATTTCACTGAAACAATCCTTTGATGCACCGGTTGCTTTGTTGCCAAAGATCATTCTGCACTGCCTAGTGTGAGTTGTGCAATTCCCATGATAGCAATATGCACCATCACTACACGGGGCACCATCTTGTACATAAACATCTTCAGGACACCATTCTGAAGTCCCGTTGCAGTACTCGGGGAGATCACAGCTGCTGACCTGTTCTCTGCAAACCTTATGAACTGGAAGATACTGACACTCAACACAGCACTCTCCAAAAGCACAAGTGGCATCTGGACTCAACATGCAATTAGACTGGCAACATGGATCCAACTTGCATTGCTCTGTTGAGCCACAATCACATTCCTCTTTATCTTCCACTACTTTGTTTCCACAGTATACAAATTTATACATTAGATGAGGGTCTAGTGGAACTAACAAACACTGTCTGTTCCTTACTGAGAAGTAATCCTTATAACTGCAATTGCTAAACTTATCTGTGGTTACTCCATATTCAGCCATAACGCAAGGATGTCGATCACAAGTGCAGTATTTTTCATCATGTTTCATTCCAAGATTATGTCCTACTGCATGGGCAAATATAACAGTAAAATCAAACAAACTGGGAGTCATATATGACTCAACACCACCTGCCCAGGGGGCAGTACAAATTGATCTTAAGTACGCTAATCCAACCATAGGTCCAAAACTTTTATATACAAATAAGTGAGCAGCATCTAGAGCTATATGTTTACTTAGTGACTTTTTTACAAACGTGACAAAATTGAGCAGTGTTTTTTCTATTGTGTCTTCGATTTTCATGAGGTTCTTTTCTGACCAAATCTCCAGGCCAGCTATAGACAACTCAACAGCAAGTGGCTCATATACTGAGTTTGCAGCATGGATAATATCTAGAACTTGCAAAGCAATACGACTTTCATTTCTGTCAAACCTGACATAGCGTTCATGTTCTATCACAATGGCAAGCTCCAAGTATCTGGTATGTGTCCACCAGGCTCCTCTCGCATCAATTTGAACTGTTACATTATTTGTGCTTTGGATCATGGCCTCTTGGCGTCTTTGCTCTTCCTCTGTTAGCCCGCACCTCATTCGTACAGCACCCACCATTTCCTCCAATCTATACAACACATGTTGAGAAGTAGCAGATGCCTGAACAGGTTCGATTTCATAGGTGCGGTTTTCTAAGTGCAACAGACCCCTGAGTCCCCCTGAGCAAGTGCTGAGGGTGACTCGAGAGGCAGGATGGCCTTTTACCAAGCCGCGGTAGAAGCAGTCATCTCTGATGAAAGGATAGTCCATCTGAAGGTCCCCCTCCCTACTGTAAGTGAAGACAGGGAAATGTTTAGGCACAAAGCTCTTCTTTTCCTGAGCTTCACGATGTGGCCCTTCCCTCAATTTGCAGCAAGTAAGTGATAGTGTGGGGTTTTGTCCATATCGGGGGGTTAATTTCCTTGGGACAATCATCTCATAGGAGGCATACCTATAGCCCTGTGGAGGGTTCTGACCTGCAGTCTCACTCAACACATTCCATGAGATCAGCACCAGCAGCCAGGGAAGACTGCTTGTCATCTTCCCTGACAGGTGAAAAGAATGCACTAAGGCACCCCATGGGATGGCCTGTTGTGGGCCCAAAGCAAAATGGGAAGGAGACTCCTATAGAGAGAGAAGGATTCTGATGATAGCAACAGTCTGTAGATTTACCTTTGGAATGTGGGCGGGCCTTGGTGATTAGGGACAGAATAGAATGCAGAGACTGGGCAAGCAGGAAGCGGGTCAGAGTGCCTGACAGGGGACTTAACAGGAAGAACAGAAAGGAGTGCTGATAGGCTGAGGACCATAGTGTCAGGTAATCATGGGAACTGAGTGCAGGGCAAGGGAAGAATACCTAGTCGCATAGCTGTCAACTTTTCCCTTTTCTTGTGAGGAATCCTATTTGGAATAAGGGAATTTCCCTTAGAAAAAGGGAAACGTTGACAGCTATGCGCTAGTAGGAGTTCCTATGGCCTTGTCATGAACAAATTTGGTATAGATATAGTATTTCTTGTGCCACTGAAGGGCTGGAAGCAGGATATGTGAACAGCAAGTTGCCTGCTCTACAGAGATTTGGCCAGCAATATGCAGCAATAGCAGGTAAGGCGAAGGGGGAGTTTTTAATTATTATTATTATTTTATTAAATTTGTATAACGCCCTAAATCCATAGATCTCATAAATTTACAATAAGATATTAGATGCAGGTTGAAGTAAAGGTAAAGGTAAAGGTAAAGGTACCCCTGCCCGTACGGGCCAGTCGTGTCCGACTCTAGGGTTGTGCGCCCATCTCACTTAAGAGGCCGGGGGCCAGCGCTGTCCGGAGACACTTCCGGGTCACGTGGCCAGCGTGACGAGCTGCTCTGGCGAGCCAGCACCAGCGCAGCACACGGAAACGCCATTTACCTTCCCACTAGAAAGCGGTACCTATTTATCTACTTGCACTTAAGGGTGCTTTCGAACTGCTAGGTGGGCAGGAGCTGGGACCGAAAGACGGGAGCTCACCCCGCCGCGGGGGATTCGAACCGCCGACCATGCGATCGGCAAGTCCTAGGCACTGAGGTTTTACCCACAGCGCCACCCGCAGGTTGGAGTAGTTTGTATCAAATGCTATAAATTTTATATGAAGGTGTTTTTAAAACAAATTATAGGAAGTCTTTACTTGTCCATCTGGTCCACAGAGTCACACTGTAGCTGTTGCATACGTGCTCCTTTTGATGAAAAGGCTCACATTCAAAATTCTCCAATGTGTCTACTCATTTTGAGGTGGCTCACTCCTTACCCCACCAACACACATGCAGGGCATAGAGGGCAGCTGCCCCTCATCCCAAGGGCATCTTGGCTGTGATTCTTGGCTGCGAGTCCTGGAAGACCTGCTCTCTGCCTTACAGCCTTCTCCCACCTGACCTAGGAGGGAGGGGCCCTGACTGACCTCAGCTACAAAAGCTGAGACTGCTGAACACACCCTTGGGCTGGGGTGTTGTTTGCCGAATTTTGTTGGGAGGGGTGGTGGTTGCTGCTGTTGCTGGTTTTTTGTATCTTTATTATAGATCTTGTGATTTATGTGGAAATTGTTCAGTTTGGTTGTATATTTTTTATGTTTTCTTTATTGCTTATGACTACTTTAGTTATGCTGTAGTTATGAGTCCAGCTACAAAAGCTGAGGCTGCTGAAGAGGCCAGAGACCATCTTGGCTGTCTCTTAGTGCAGACCCAGGTCAATCGAGCCTGAGCTTCCTCATGAACTACCATTGGCAGTATTGTTTGCATACCAGTGCAAGTAGATAAATAGATACCGCCTTACTGAAATCAAGATAGACTATATCCACAGCATTTCCCTCATTCACCAAGTTGTAATTCCATCAAAAAAAAAGAAATCAGATTGGTCTGGCATGACTTATTTTTGAAGCTTTTAAGGCACTTTCAACACCAGAAATCTGACATGGCTTTTAAAAATTCCATTGCATTTAAAACATGATAATGGATTTCCAGAATATTTTTTTCTTTTATTTTCATGACAAAATCAATTTTATTTGTGACAAATAGTTTTGTTTTGATTTACTGAGTGTTACGGGTCACACTCTAAATATATATTAAGCAGAATACATTTTTATAAAGAAATTAAAATACTCTCTTATAAAATCATAGAATTGTAGAGTTTGAAGGGATCATGCAGGTCTTCTACTCCAGCCCCCTGCAATCCAAGAATCTTTTGCCCAACATGGGCTCGAATCCACAACCCTGAGATTAAGAGTCTCTGCCCTACTGTCTTAATCTAGTTCTTTTTAGAAGTAATTTTGATTTTATAAAAGATAACGGCAACTGCAAATGTTTGTTTGTTTGTTTAATAAAATTTATATACCACTTGATTGTAGGGGGGGAAACCTCAAAGCAGTTTTGAAAAGTAATATGTAATTGAAATATGTCACAAAGAGTTACAACATTATACAGCACACACATACAAACTGATTTAAATACATCTTTGGGATAATATGAATTTGTAGTAAATCAGCAGAGTGTCTTGGTAGAACAAATTGTTTTATAGGCTTTAACAGACTAACTTTTTCTAATACTTTTTCTGGCAGAAAAACGTTATCTCTGAAATGAGGGTATGTGTTTTTTTACAGAGGTACGTCCTGCTTTTCTACACTTGCCTTTTATTTGTAAGGAACCTCTGTAGAAACAAAGAAAGGTGGTTTTCTCCATTTACAGTGGAGAGATGGATAGCTGAGGACCAGGCTCAAAACAGTGCCAGCGTGGACTCTGAGCAAGCGCAGACCTCAGACTATAAGCAAAAAGCCAGATGCCACTGTGTAAGATTAGCTGTCTCGGTAACTAGCAGCCTCATTCCCTGGGCTTTAGTTTCCTATTGTTTCAAATAAGTGTGCCTACTTCACCTATGAAATTTTGGGGAGTAAAAGAGCAGCTCAGCCCCACATTCCAAAGCCTAGTCTGGAAAGAGGAAGGTCTAACAAGGGCATAATACTGCTTCCACCTTCCCCTTTTTCCTCTGCAGGCTGCTTCACCTTCAACTGTACTGAAAAGGGAAGAGCTGGGATGCTGTGGAATAGAGCATTGAAGCTCCTTCCTCCCTCAGCTGCAGTATCTGTGGCCAATATTTGCAACTCCGTTTGTGTGTGTGTGTGTGTGTGTGTGTGTGTGAGAGAGAGAGAGAGAGAGAGAGAGAGAGAGAGAGATGAGATCCAGTCACCTCTATGTGCAACACTGAAATTGGTCCCTATATAAGAAGATCAGTCTGCTATCAGCAGAACTTTGGAACTTAAGGATTAAAGCATCCCTCTTTTGTCCATAGCAACGTTCAGTAATCTCCCTTTAGGGTTTATTCAGAAGAAATTATTCATAACATTAGGACTTCTCAACCATTTTACACCTATTTTGATAAAAAATGTTAGCATTTGTACTTTCAGTGTTTTTAATCACTGCTTTTTGTCTTTTAAAACAAAGAAATAAACGCTTACTTGTATATTTTGAGCGACTGGTTGTGAGCCAGAGCCAGGCTCTCTTGGATGAAACCAATTTTCTGCATCCATTTTAATCAAGGTTTAGGTCTGTTTGGCCATGGAAACTGCTTTTGTTATGCTGTATGATGACCTGTCAGGAGAGGGATGGGAGAACGTGTTAATTCCCTGTTAATCCTATTGATCTCTCAGCGGCTTTCAATGCCATTCACCATGGTATCCTTCTGGAGCAGTTGTCCCAGTGTGAGGGTGGGCAGCACTGCTTTGCGGTGGTTCTGGTCCTACTTGGATAGTCATTTCCACAGGATGTTTGGGGAGTGCTTTTCAGCTTCACAAAGTCTTCAATGCAGGGCTCCTTAGGGATCAAGCATGGCCCCCATGCTGTTAAACATGTTAATCTACAGGATGTTAATCTACAGGAAACTGCTGGGTGGAGTCATCCAGAGTCTTGCAGTACGTCGACAGCAATATGTTGATGGCACATCTGGATTTCTTAACATCTACAAGTGTAGCAGTGGATGTGCATGACTGATGTCTTGACTCAGTAATAGACTGGATGGGAGCCAATAAACTGAAGCTCAGTTCAGATTAAACTGAAGTGAATGGTTCCCTAGACTGGATGGATGGGAAATGGCCTGCTCTTGATGAGATTACACTCCCTCTGAAGGAGTAGTTACATAGCTTGGGGATACTTCTGGAAACTTCGCTTTGCTGTCACTTGAGGCTCAAGTGGCCTTGGTAGCATGAAGTGCCTTCCATCCGCTTTGGCTGGTGGCCAGCCATACTCTGATGACCTCTGGGTTAGATTACTCAATGTGTTATAAATGGGGCTGTCTTTGAAGGCAATTCAGGAGTTGGTACAGAATTCAGTAGCCAGGTTGCTCACGGAGGCAAGACAGTCTGAGCACATAACACCAATCCTGGCCCAACCACACTGGCTGCCAATCAGTTTCTGGGCCCAATTCAAAGTGCTGGTTTTGACCTACAAAGCCTATTGTGGCTCAGTACCCAAATACCTGAAGAAACACCTCTCCCCGTATAAACCAGCATAGACCCTACAATAATAATCTGAGGCCTTTCTTCTTGTGCCTCCTCCTCAGGAGTTCTGGGGGGTGGCAACACAAGAAGGGGACTTTTCAGTGGTGGCTCCCTACTTATGGAATGCTCCCCCTGAGGAGGCTCACCTGGCATCATGAAGAAATAGCTTTAGGCACTAAGCAAAAACTCCCCCCTCTTTTGCTAGACCTTTGTTTTTAGTTATCTGTGGTCTCCAGTGGTTGGAATGTTTTAATCCCGCCTTTTAAAAATGGGATTTTATTTTACATTTATCTTTGGTTTTTATTTTATTTTCTGCTGGTTTCAATGTACAGTATGTGTTTGTTTTTATATTATAAACCACTTTGGATTACCTTCTTTAAAGTATGAAGAATAAATTAGATAAACAAATCAACATTTGGTCATTTTAACATTTTGTTTCCACGGTTCTCTGCATTCTTCAGTTGCTTTGATATGAAGACTTGGAATCACTAAGATTACGTAACGTTGTGATGCTCAGCTGTTAAAGGGTTTTGTTGCCTTTTTACTGCTCTACAACAGGCATATTTTAGGTTATCACCTCAGTTACTCAAATGACATCAGTGGTTATGTTGGTTTCTGTGAGAATGGGATTTTATTCAGAGCCTGGCTTTTGCTGAAAGTATTTAGCATTCCTCCACATTCTTTTCCCCAGTAGGCTTAAGGGAGATACTTCTGAGAGTTAGAGACTGCAGACAACATCAACACATTTCAGAGTTCTGTCCTAGTGTGCCTAGTAGACAAATGAAGAAGGGCGTTAAAAACTTTAGAAACTTAAATGTATCACTGCATAATACTGTCCATTATTTCCTGCACATCTATTTGACACATTCAGTGTATTGTTCAATTCTCTCATTCAGTTGGGACAGGATTTTCTTCCTCTTTTACACCTTCTTCATATGTTTTTTCTGGTTTTTTTACAAACCGCTCTCTCAGACGCTTCCTGAAATAAATACCCAGCCCCAAAACAGCAAAAATAGTAGAAACAAGAAATACAATTGCTGCTATCATTCCTGTCATGTTGACGCTACGTTTTGAAGTGTTCCCTGGTGGAGGAGGTCCACTGTCAATGCTGCCACCATTACCTCGGTTTAGACAGTCTGGAGGGGCCCAGCCATCATCACAATGACAATGTTTGTAGGTGTTGCATATTCCTCGATTATGACACTTTGTGACATTGCAATCATATTTCAAGAGAGACACATTCTTGCACTCCCTATTAATACACATCATTTCTGTGCCACAAGGAGTCCCATCTCTCACTGCTCCAATATCGGGTATCTCCATTCCAGCGTGGTAATCTGTACTCCAGCAATGCCTATTGCCAAGAGGCGTATTAATTATGGTGCTGTGTTCCTCCAAAGAAGGTACTGTATCAACATTTTCACACTGGATTCGGCCGCACAAGATGTTCTGAGTATCACATTTCTTATAAGTGTCATGTCTAAGCCCACAGTTGCCAAAGCGATCACCTCGAGCATTCATTTCACTGAAGCAATCCTTTGATGCACCGGTTGCTTTGTTGCCAAAGATCATTCTGCACTGCCTAGTGTGAGTTGTGCAATTCCCATGATAGCAATATGCACCATCACTACACGGGGCACCATCTTGTACATAAACATCTTCAGGACACCATTCTGAAGTCCCGTTGCAGTACTCGGGGAGATCACAGCTGCTGACCTGTTCTCTGCAAACCTTATGAACTGGAAGATACTGACACTCAACACAGCACTGTCCAAAAGCACAAGCAGCACTTGGACTCAACATGCAATTAGACTGGCAGCATGGATCCAACTTGCATTGATCAGGTGAACCACAATCACATTGCTCGCCATCTTCCACTACTTCATTTCCACAGTATGCAAATTTATATATTTTAGTGGAGTCTGGTGGAATTAGCAAACACTGCTTGTTTTTTCTGTTGAAATATTCTTTATAACTACAGTTGCTAAACTTATCAGAGATTGTTTGATATTCAGCCATTATGCAAGAACTTCGATTACAAGTACAGTATTTATGATCATGTTGCATTCCAAGATTGTGTCCTAATTCATGGGAAAATGTGTGAGAAATAAGGAACAAACTGGGAGTCACATATGATTCAACACCAGATGCCCAATGGAGGTTACAAACTGTTCCTGTGTACGCTAATCCAAGTGTACTTCCAAAACTCTTATATATAAATAAGTGAGCAGCATCAAGTTGTATACGTTTACTTAGTGAACTTTTTAAAAAGTGGGTGAACATATTATGAGTGTCATCTATGCTGTTAACAATTTTTATGAGGTTTTTTTCTGTCCATATTTCCAAGCCAGCTATAGACAGCTCAAGAGACAGTGGCTCATACATTGAGTTTGCAGTATGGATGATATCCATAACTTGCCTAGCAACACGACTTTCATTTTTGTCAAACCTGACATATCGTTCATGTTCTATCACGATTGCAACCTCTAGGTACCTGGTGTGTGGAAACCAGGCTCCTCTAGCAGCACTTTCAGTCAATACTTTTCTTTTGTTTTGGAACATGGCCTCTTGGCTCCTTTGCTTTTCCTTTGTTAACCCACACCTCATGCGAACAGCACCTTCTATTCCCTCCAATCTGTACAGCACATGTTGAAAAGTACCAGGTGCCTGAACAGGTTCAATTTCAAAGGTGTAATTTTCTAAGTGAAGCAGACCTCTGAGGCCCCCCGAGCAAGTGCTGAGGGTGACCCTAGAGGAAGGCTTGTCTTGTACAAAGCCATGGTAGAAGCAGTCATCTTTGATGAAAGGATAGTCCACCTGGAGCTCTCCATCCTTACTGTATGTGATGACAGTGAAGTGTTTAGGGACAACGCTCTTCTTTTTCCTGAGTGTCACCACATGACCCTTCCCCTCAATCTGCAGCAGGTACGTGACATCATGAGTTTCCTGTTCTCCATATCGGGGAGTCAGTTTCCTTGGGATGATCACTTCATAAGAAGCATATCTAAAACCCTGTGGTGGTTTCTGACCTGCATTCTCACATAACACGTTCCATGAGATCAGCACCAGTAGCCAGGCAAGATTGCTAGTCATTTTCCTTGATCAGTGAAATAATTCACTAGACCACTCCACTCTTGCTTGTCTTTCTCAATAGGGAAGCTCCTTGTGGGTGCAAGGCAAAATAGGAAGAAGGTTGCATGTTAGATAGAGGAGAAGGATTCTGTCTATAGCAACCGTCAGGAGATTTCCCTTTGGAATGTGGGCGGAGCTTGGTTATGAACAAGACGGAATGGGGAGAGAATGGAAAGGGTGGGGGAGAACCTAGAAGATGGTTAGCAAAAAGGGCAGTTACAGGAAGAACAGGATGTTCTGTGGACAATTTTCAGACCAAGATGTTAGGGTAGTGGAAGATAACCAAAATCACTAACCTCATATTAATACAAGATATATGAACTCTATTTAGGAGAGGCTCCTTGGGGGTTGTTACTATCTTGCTTTCATCGGAGTGATCCTCTTCAGCGATAATTTTAAGCTCCCCAAACACAATGTTATAGGGAGACGGGCCATGTCAAGGAACATTAAGCCACATCAATTGGATCCTGTGTCATTGATGGAGATAGCAGTACATGTTTCCTCCTAATATGTGGATAACCTCCTCTCAGAATCTGAGACAAACATCAGGCATTCACCTAGTTCTCCGGACCACAGGAGCCTAAAGTTGCAGGCTTGGTTGGCTACCAGATGCAGAAATGCACGCCTGGTGAATAAAGACTTTGCATGAGTAAAAGGAAACTCATGAGCAAGTCAGTCTTCAAAAGCAGACCAATTCCTCAGACAATACTTAATGGACCATAGCTATGCTCTTGGTGGGAATCTGAAGGTTCAAGCTTAAGTTATAGGCAGTGGAATTATGTCTGTGCACCACCACCACCCAGATTCCAGTCTTAGGACATTCCAGAGCTAGATGGATCAATTATCAGACTCAGTATAAGGCATGTCCCAATGTTCCTATTCCTGCTGTTGAGTCTTCAGGATAACTGTTTTTTTCCCTCCTGCCTGCTGGTTTTCGCAGCAGGAAAACCCTGACTAGTATCATGGCAGTTTGCACATCAAAGTAAATGGTCATAGCCTGAGGATTTGTCATGTTTTTTATTTAATAACTGACAAAAGTTTCAGGGTAGGGAGGAGGTCACTGAGGTAACATAGGGGCTGTTAAAAAGGGGTTTTGAATACTTGAATGTGATTAATCAAATCATGATGTGCTGTGTATAAAGGCTGTTCTGCTGCTAGAATCTGCTGTTCCCCTTACCACAGACAAGATAACTTTACAATTAGACGACCCTTGCACTTGGTTTGGTAGCTGCAGCTAGTACAAAATGCAGCTGCTAGGTGGCTTAGTGGAACAACCTGTAGTGGTCAGTGTTAGAAACTCATGTATATAAGCCAGGTTACAGTCGCCAAAATGTAATGTCCAGTTCCCATTTTAGCATCAATGGTTCTAAATTCTTATTTTTCAAATGATGGACTGACTGTGATTGAATATCAGTTAAATTTCTGGCTCGTTCAGATGACTACCTTGAGCTAGGTTAAGAAATTTGAGAACTTAAAGAAGAAAAGTCACCTTTATCCAAGTACAATTCACAAATATATTGGCCTATTCCAATCTTTTTTTCTTATTGGTGAAACAGACCATTCATAATGTTGAGATATTCTTCACAACTGTGAGGTAAGTGAAGACAAGCTACAATAATGAACCATAACAATGTTCACTGCTCCTGCTCAAGCTGCACAGAAAAAAGCACTTTGGTTCCTGAAATTAATTCCAATTGTGCAAATAAAATATAACTGATAGAATGACTTGCCTGTCTGGCCCCCATGCATCTTCCTTCCTGCTTGCTTTTTCTCTTCCATGCTCGCATAGGGGGAACAACGGCAGAAAGGCAACTCATTTCCAGGTACATACATTTAATTGTCTTGGTCAACAATGAAAAAGGATGGAATATTTGTAAGACTTTTAGGTCTATTTCTAATGAGATAGATAGATAGATAGATAGATAGATAGATAGATGACAGATGATAGATAGATAGAGAGACAGACAGACAGACAGATAGATAGATAGATATTCCAGTTACCTATCTGTGTTACGAACTCTATATGGACCACCCTCAATGTAAGACAAACTATCAGCAGAATTTTGGAGTTTCACAATAACTTTACACAACTGGGGTATCTATATCACTTTTTCAGTACAAGGGAATTTGACATTCCTTTTTAAAAATCAATTTTATTTTGAAAATTGTAATGTATTTCCAATTGGACAGTTATTTATTTTTCTCCTATTTCCATGACTAAATGCAGTTGAAATGGCTTGATGCATTATTATTTTGTCCACATCAGCTGTCAGTACAGTTATCTTTCTTGAGGATTTATTCAGAAATTAAGAAATCTCATTTAATGGACTTCTGAGCCATTTTACACCTATATCAGATAAAAAATGCAGGCATTTTGCTTTTAGTTCTTAAGCACTGTTTTTTCGCATTCTTAAATAAACAAATAAATAAATGCTTCTTATTGGTAAGATTGTTTTATATTTTGTCCATATAACATTAATATTTTTGCTTCCACAGTTCTCTGTATCCTCTTTGTAGGTGGCTTTGATATGATGGTTTGAATTTGCTCATTAGCAACCCAATGAGACAGGAAGCAAATAGTGATAAAAGACTAGAAACCAGATTATTTCTGTTTAATGGTACACAGTTCTTCCTGTAAGGCATATTGTCATACAGAATATAATTTAATGTGACGTTAAAATAAGTATTTTTTATTTATGTAAAATAAATTACTGTAATATTACATTGCTTAAAGTTGCTTCATTTTCTTCAAAATTTGAGAACATTGTCATTGTAGTTGCACTGACAAAGCAAGCAATCAGTGCATGCCATTGGCCATCCTCTTTGCTACTTCCAGACTATCCAGTTGTGAAAATGAACATGTAAGTTCCATAGCATATCTTAATTTCCAGGTTTCCTGACATTTTTAAAATAAAGTTCATAGTTCCGCAGCCAGGCTTATGGGCCAGAATCCTGGGGCCTTCAGCAGGGTGATGACATATAAAAATGAGTTAGACAGCAAACAGAGAAAGAAAATGATTCCCTGAACACCATTTATACTGATCAAGAGCAGGAGGATAGAATATTCTATTTCATTTTTGTTCGTTTGTGAACTTATATAAGATATTGGCTATGGCGGGGGCTCCCAACATGGTGCCTCCTGTGATGCCTGTGAAAGGTCTCAAGAAGTAACCTCTCAAAACTGCAATGCATTAGAGAATGTTTGCTCTTCCTGCTTAGTTCTTGTTTGAACTGGTTTGGCCTTTACCACACTGAATACCTTCGCCCCTTAAACATGCCCACCCCTTCACTGAATGCCAGAACTGGACACTCACCATCCATTCTGTTCTAAACAGAGAAGTGATGGATTCTCGCTGCAAGTGAACACAGCAGTGGATTCTGTTGGTGCCCTCTCCCCATTGATGAGGTGGCTGACCATTTTGTGGCCCTGTCTCTTTTTCTACTTTAAGATGTGGCAGCCATTTTGTGACTGGTTAAAAACATTTGGTTTAAAAAGGAAACATCCATAGGGCATTAATTCTACAGTCAATTCACTGCCCATTGCCTTATCCCTTCTTAACACCCACCGTCCTTTCCCTTGGTTACAAAAACAATCCCATTCCCAGGGGCTAAATTGACCTTTCCCTTTCAAATTGTTGCTCACTGGAATTTGAGCCATACCCCGATTTCACTAACTGCATTAGCAGCTGGGGGAAGCTAGTCAGGCATATAAATTTAGATAAGCCTAGTGAGTAAGCCTGTTCAATTGCCTAGAAGCAGATACAGGAAACCTTTTTGACTCAACAGCCAAGATCTTTAATGCCCCCACCCCATGGGCCACCTTCGACAGGTACGCAGTAGCCACACACCTGTCAATAATAATAATAATAATAATAATAATAATAATAATAATTTATTTGTACCCCGCCCATTTGTTCCCCCAGCCACTCTGGGCGGCTTCCAACAAAGATTAAAAATACATTAAAATGTCACACATTAAAAACTTTCCTAAACGGGGCTGCCTTCAGATGTCTTCTAAATGTCAGGTAGTTATTTATCTCTTTGATATCTGATGGGAGGGCGTTCCACAGGGCGGGCGCCACTACCGAGAAGGCCCTCTGCCTGGTTCCCTGTAGCTTTGCTTCTCACAGTGAGGGAACCGCCAGAAGGCCCTCGGCGCTGGACCTCAGCGTCCCAGCAGAACGATGTGATTGGAGACGCTCCTTCAGGTATATTAGGCCGAGGCTGTTTAGGAATTTAAAGGTCAACACCAACACTTTGAATTGTGCTCAGAAACGTACTGGGAGCCAATGTAGGTCTTTCAATACTGGTGTTATGTGGTCTCAGCGGCCGCCCCCAGTCACCAGTCTAGCTGTCGCATTCTGGATTATTTGACATAATGATGTCAGGTAACTGATAAGTGTGCAGTACCATGCACATGCTAAAGTTGACTTATAGGGTGAAGGGAGAGGTTATTTGCATAAAATGCAGTGGCAAAGCAGCACCCAGCAAGATTAAGTGCTCCACTCACCAACTGGTGAGTAGAGGATTCAATTCCACTCTCTGCAGGGATTTACTTTGCTAATGTACTCCCCACTAGTGAAGCAGCACCCAGCAGGATTGCACCCTGCCCATGAGCTGATGCCACCGGTGGGTGTGGTTTGTGGAACATGTCCTCATGGGCTAAATTGGAACCCCTGATAGGGCCAAGATTGACCTGTGAGCCAGAAGTTTCCCACCCCTGAGCTAGAGGGAGTCCCAACTGGCAAAATGTCAAAATAGGTCTGCTAAGTAGCCAGGAACATTTGACAGCATAAATGACACTGGAGTGGCAAAACCCAGTGAGGACTGTACCAACTCTAACACTGTATGTGTTTCAAACTGTCACTTTCATAGATATCATCTGCTTTGCTCTCATTAAATTCCTTGAGGTGTCCCAATAAAAAATATTGCACTGGCTGCAGAAGGCATGACTACCAAAT